GTGGAGGCTAACCTGTTGCTATGATGCTGAACAGTTTTCAGCAGTGCTTCCAGATTAAGATGGACTAGGAGGAAAGGCCTGACAATCTACTTCCAAAAATCAGCCAGTGGATCACAAGGGAACACTGTCTAATCTGCAACCCATCATGGGAATGGTGCAGGACTGGGCAACATTTCAATCTGTTATGCATGGGGTCACCACGAGACAGGGCCCACTCTATGCAGTTAACAAAAACAATTTTATCTCAAAAGGGAGAATAGGCTCCATGCCATCTCTTTGACCCATTTGCAGATACTCTTCCACTTTCTCTTCCCAGGAAGTAGGTAAGCAGATGGGGCTGAGCCTCTATGGTTGAGTGGGTCCTGCAGACCCAGATTTGCCTGTGCTTAGAGGTGATAGTGAGGATGTTCCATTTTTATCTCAGGCCTGAAGGTGTAGCCTCTGAAGCCAGACTACCTGAGTCTGAATCCTGGCTTTTACATTCACTAACTGTGTGACCTTACCAGCCAAAAACCCAAACCCATTGCTGTTGAGTTGATTCGGACTCATAGCGACCCTATATGACAGAGTAGAGATGCCCCATAGGGTTTCCAAGAAGCAGCTGGTGGATTCGAACTGCCAACCTTTTGGTTAGCAGTTGAACATTTAACCACTGCACCGCCAGGGCTCCATGTGACCTTAGGCAAGTTATTTAAATTCTCTGTGACTCAGCTTCATCATCTGTAAAATGGGAATAGTAGTGGCACCTATCTCACAGGGTTGTTATGAGGATTAAATGAGAAAATACATGTGCAGCAGGATGTTAAAAAAAGACTCCTTCTGCCCCAGGCTTGACTGAGACCCCAAAACAATAGTGACCAACTACTTCCACATTTCAAAGTAAGTTGTGAGACCACGGGCCCCTACACTTACAAATGGGCCAGTTGAGCTTGATCAAATCGAGGGGCACCAGTCACTCGCAGTCATGGTGGTTTTTGTGGTTATTACAGCTATAGGCTAGTAGCTGGCAGTAAAGTGACTTAAGGTGGGGACATCTTTTTCTAATTTGCATAAAGTTTCCTGATGGGCTTATAGTGGGGCTAGAGGCCACCAAAACAGGATTGCAGAGGAGGTGGTCAAGAACCAGTTTGGAGCCCTTCGCTGACCACCTACAAAAGAGGTTGGAGAGGATGAGAAGGAGTTAGCAAATTGGAAAGAGAATTTCTCTGGAGAGAACTGTACCCTGAGCTTTTTCTTCATCCCAAGGCTAGACAAGGGCCTTCAAGGAGACTGCTCAGGTTGCTTGGTGTGTCAGACTCGAAGCTGAGAAATCTAAAGGGCAAGAGACTCTGGGGGGGCCAGCTGCTCCAAAGGTGGAGCAAGTGAAGTGGCTTCTTAGGGGTGACCTGCATGCCTAAAGGGGTTTGGGGCAAAGGATGCATGAGTGTTTCTACAGACAGATATGGCCCATGAGAGAGACAGGCTCCAGGTGGCCTTAGATCCTGCCAAAGAGGATGGAGAGGCAAAGTGACCCCTACAGTACAGGGTGGACTGCCAGACTCCCAGGTGCTGAGGAAGACGACATAGATGTGGGTTTCCCTCACCGCAAGTAAAGACGAGAAATCCCCAGACATGGGGGATTCCAAAGAGCCCACAAAGGCATCCACAAGTAAAGAGTCACCATTAGACACCTGTCAAGCCCAGGAAGTGCTGATGCCAACTCAAGATAGTATTACTGGAGTGAGAATTGTTCTGCCCCTTCCCCCTGCCTCTCACTCCACTAGTGAGTGGGGGAGGAGGAATGGAAGGTCCAGGTGAGGACTAAGAAGCCAAACATTCTTCCAGTTCTCTTGAAGTTGCCCTGAGCTAGAGGGAGGGGAAGAGCAGCTTTAACTTGAAGTTTGAAGTTTTTGATTGGTTGTTTCAATGACTAACATGAGATTCCTGGTGGTGGTGATTGGGGTCGGGGTGAGGGGAGAGTCTAGAAGTGATCAGAAGACTTTTTTTGTTTTAATTGTACTTTAGATGAAGGTTTACAGAACAAATAGTTTCTCATTAAACAGTTAATGCACATACTATCTTATGACATTGGTTAACAACCCCATGACATGCCAACACTCGCCCTTCTCGATCTTGAGTTCCCTATTACCAGCTTTGTCCCCTCCTGCCTTCTAGTCCTTGTCCCTGGGTTATTATGCCCCATTAGTCTCGTTTTGTTTTATGGGTCTGTCTAATCTTTGGCTGAAGGGTGACCCTCAGGAGTGACTTCATTACTGAGCTAAAAGGGTGTCTGGGGGCCATAGTCTCAGGGTTTCTCCATTCTCTGTCAGGCCAGTAAGTCTGGTCTTTTTTTGTGAGTTAGAATTTTGTTCCACATTTTTCTCCAGCTCTGTCCGGGACCCTCTATTGTAATCTCTGTCACAGCAGTCAGTGGTGGTAGCCGGGCACCATCTAGTTGAACTGGACTCAATCTGGTGGAGGCCATGGTAGCTGCGGTCCATTAGTCCTTTGGACTAATCTTTCCTTTGTATCTTGTTTTCTTCATTCTCCCTTGTTCCTAAAGGGGTGAGACCAGTGGAGTATCTTAGATGGCTGCTCACAGGCTTTTAAGACCCCAGACACTACTCATCAAGGTGGAATGTAGAACGTTTTCTTTATAAACTAGTATTATGCCAGTTGAGCTAGATGTTGCCCGAGACCATGGTACCCACAGCCCTCAGCCCAGCAATTCAGTCCCTCAGGGAGTTTGGATGTGTCTATGGACCTTCCATGACCTTGCCTTGTACAAGTTGTGCTGGCTTCCCCAGAATCGTGTATTGTCTTACCCTTCACCAAAGTTACCACTTATCTGCTGTCTATTTAGTATTTCCCCCACCCCCTCCCATCCCTCGTAACTGTCAAAGATTATTTCTTTTTGTGTATAAACCTTTTCATCAGTTTTTACAGGAGAGGTCTCATACAATATTTGTCCTTGTGTGATTCACTTATTTTACTCAGTGTAATGTCCTCCATTAGAAGAATTTTTTACCCCAACATTTCATTATGGACATTTTCATTCATACAAAAACACTGAAAGACTTTTACAAAGAACATCCGTATATCTACCATCTAGGTTCTACCATTAACTTTTTTTTTAATTGTAGTCAATATATATGTAACAGAACAATCGCCATTTCAACAATCTTCACAGGTGAAATTCAGTGACATTAATTATGCTTATCATGCTGTCTACCATTAACATTTTACTCTGCTTGCTTTATCGTGTATCTGTCCCTCTATCCATTTCTCCATCCATCAGTCCATTTTATTTTTGGATGCACTCCGACGAAATTTGCAGACATCAGTATACTTCCCCCTGAATACTTCAGTGTGAATATCATTAACTAGAGTTCAGTATTTGTGTACAGCTTTTTTTTTCCTTTTGAGATAAAATTTACATAGGCTGACATGCATAAATCTTGAGTGTGTATTCATTGAGTTTTGACAAATACACACATCTGTGTAACCCACACTTGGAGGACTTTTTATTTCCTGAGAGTGACCAGAAAAGCCAGTGGCACCCTTGGGAAGGAACTCAGTCCAAAGATCACTCCCAGGCCTTTTTATGGTTTATCATACTCTCCCTGCAAGCCTGCTCATGAGCTGAATTTCCAAGGGATTGCTTAGAAATCAGCATCTTATGAGTTTGGTTAGAATGATTCAAATACTAGGGCTCTAACAGATCAACTCCAAGGAATCGATGAGGTCTAGGGTCCTGCAGGAATCCCTGGGTGGTGCAAACTGCACGTGCTTGGCTGTTAACCAAGAGGTTGGAGGTTCAAGTCCACCCAGAGACACTGTGGAAGAAAGGCCTGACAATCTACTTCCAAAAAAATCAGCCATTGAAAACCCTATGGAGCACAGCTTCTACTGTGACGCACGTGGGTTCACCATGAGTTGGAATCAACTTGATAGCAATGGTACTGGTACTGATAGAACTCTGCAAAGCTGACTGGGGCCTTGGTGATCCACAGGGCACTTACTTATGGGGACATCAGCCCACTTTTCCAGCATCTTATTAGCCTCAGCATATCACACTGGAGTTCTGCCTTCCAGGTGCTCAGGGACAATGATCTGGGAGGAACGGGCTTAAAGCTGTTTGTACAGAACTCTATAAAAGGGAGGAAGCAGTAATGAAAATTATGGAGGGAGAGTGTGAAGCTCCCTGAGCTCCCATCTTGACTATGCCATTGTTAAATAGCCCCTTTCTTTCCTGTTGCTCATGATTTTTCCTGGGGAAACCTACTTTTCCTGTAGCTCCTGACTTACACATATTGCAAAATGACGCCTCTGTATGTAATGCAGAATGTAACTTCTGTCTTTTGTTGATTGTTAGAGTGTGACCTGAACACAGCACAGAAAAAAACCGAGATGAGAAAAAAACCTTGAATCTGTGGTCGGTTTGGCCAACATCATATAGAGGCTCTAGGGCTTGGGGTGTGTGTTGGCGGGGACGGTTCCAAAGAACACGAGGCACTCCCTGCCCTTGAAGAACTCGCAAGGTATGAGATGGAGACTGGACACAAGCACACTCAGCTGCAACTATCACATATGGCCCCTAGATGCATGGGGTGGAGAGAATAGGAGCGGGGAAGATTGGTGAGCTCCGTGAGGGCTTTCGGAGATGGGAGTCCATGAGGCTCTGCAAAATCAAACACAACATTTCAGATCATTTAGAACCATACAAGGGGGCAGGGGTAGTTTAGTGGCAGAATTCTTGCTTTCTATGCAGGAGACTCAGGTTCGATTTCAGCCAATACACCTCATGCGCAGCCACCACCCATCTGTCAGTGGAGGCTTGCCTGTTGCTATGATGCTTAGCAGGTTTCAGTGGGGCTTCCAGACTCAGACAGACTAGGAAGAAAGGCCTGGTGATCTACTTCTGAAAAATCAGCCAATGAAAACACTATAGATCACAACAGTCTGATCCCATTGTGCATGGGGTCGCCATGAGTCGGGGGCTGACTTGGCAGCAGCTGACAACAACAGCAGAACCATATAAACTTAAGAAAGGTGAGGGGGAAACATGCCAAGAAATGAGTGGTTCCTGACAGGTGGGAACGCTCTGGGGCCGGGAACCCAGTGGTCCTCCCGCATGGAAACATCCTCAAGGGAAGCACCAGGCCTGACTCCTCTCAGTCTTCAGGGCTGAGCATCAGCATCTTTCCTCTGGCTTCAGTCATCTGACCACCGAGGCTTCTTCGTCTAAGTTCAGGAAGTACTTATCTTTCAGGGCTTCATAAAACTAATGCTGGCTTTCAGGACCCAGATACCTATTGAAGTTCAGCTATTCTTGACTGTTGTAAAATAAACTGTGTGAACCTTCCTCAGCTTGTCAAAAATGAGAAACCTTTGTTTTAATATGATGCTTTCCAGTAGTTGTAGGTATTTCCACATCATCATAGTCGTCTTCAGGCTCAATGTAGCTTGGGATGGAAACTCTCTTTGCTTTTTTAACTTTATGTATTGACGAGTATGCAGCTGGCGGCTCACTTTGGGTGTCCGCTGGAGCTGGAAAACACAAAAAGGTCGTTAGATGCGAAGCCGTCGTGTGTTAATGTATTTTTGATCAAGCGGCACAGCATGATCTTCTGGGTTTCGGTAACCTTCCCATTTTTGGTGGTGGACTAGATCCCCATCTTACAGAGGACAGTTAGACATGACACCATCTCAGGATCACCCAAGTGAGCAAATGGCAACTAGGGTCAGACATCCAATACTTGACCCCCATGTCCCTCTGCCCAAGACTGCACTGCAGTGGGACCCTGAAACCAAAACCTGAACAGAAACTGACCGATGCTAAACGAGTACAGTTGCAGCTACAGATCCTAATTCTCATAAGGAAGTGATATAAACCATATTTTCTTTTTGGCAGATTCCCCACCATGGCCCACCTACACAGTTTTCCAGAGCTGTCCGTAATTGCTCAAGTACAAATCTCTCTGCAAAGAGGGAAGGGAAACAGTGGTGTTTGCAAAAGGTAGAATTCGTAGAGAATGGGTGCATAGCAAAAGGACTAAAGTGACTAGAAGGATGATGAAACAGTTGAGCTCCACCCGTGACGGGGATTGGAACTGCCTCTATACTGCAGTCCCAGCTCTTCTGGAAAACCAGCTGCTGTTGAGTTGATTCAGACTCATGGCGATCCCATGTGTGTGAGAATAAAACTTTGCTCCATAGTGTTTTCAATGGCAGATTTGTGACAAGTAGATCACCAGGACTTTCTTCTGAGGTACCTCTGGATAGGCTCAAACCTCCAACCTTTCAGTTAGAAGCTGAACGCATTAACTGTTTGCACTACCTAGGGACTCCATCTCCGCCCAAGAAACCCTGAAAAGCTACCGCCATTTCATTTCCTGCAGAGCCCTGCAGTTAGACAGATCTAAGTTCATGTTCAGGCTCCAGCCCTCACTAGCTGTGTGATCTTAGGCGAGTCACTTAACTTCTCTGTGCTTCCGTCTCATCATCTGTCAAAAGGGAATAATAATGCACCTGACTGACAGATTGTCGTGAAGATTAAATGAGATAATACCTACAAAGTGCCTAGTGTGGAGCCTGGCACAGAGTGTGTGTTTAATAAATGTTAGCTAATATTAGTACTTATTCATTCAATCAAACATTTTTATTATGTATCTACTAAGCTCCAGGCACTGTTCTTGGTGGTAGATAAACAATGGTGAACAAGACAAGAAAGGTTCCTGTCTTCCCGGATTTTATTTTCTAGAGGAGGAGCTAGATAATAAACAAATGAACAATAAGTAAGACAGTTTCGGATAATTGCTGTAAGTTTCATAAAGGGAATTAGCAGGATTGCTTTAGGTAGGGTAGTCATGGCTGGCCTCTTTGAGGATGAGGTGAAGCCCGCTATGTGAAGAGTTTCAAGAAGAACATTCCAGAAACAGGGAACCAGGCATAGTTTTTCTGATTGGAAATATGAGAGTCCCCACATGGTGTCACTTGGCCTCTCCCATTTCCAAGCTGGGATCTGAACATGAATTTACACATTAAAGATCAGGAGCTTTGTTACTTATTCTTTCTCTTTTTTAACGTACTTTTCCCGTTTAAACAGAATGTACCACCTGCAAATGCTAGATACATTTGTTATCCTACCCTGGGTGAAACTGTTATCGGCAAAATACACTTACAGGCATCTTCTAAAGAAGGCAAATCCCTGGGTGGCAGAGGAGGTAATTTACCAGGTGATTGATTAAGAACATTCCTAGAGAGAGAGAGAAAGAGAGGGAGTCAGTATTTGGTTTTGACCATGCCTACCGTTAGCGGACATAAAGGAAAATTTCAAGGAAAGTGAATAGGGTTGAACATTCAAATCCTGGTCACCACAAATTGGAAGCATTTCCTGCCCTTTCTATGTCCTGTGTCCCATTTGTAACCGGCACACTAAAGAAACCATTTCCTCTAGCCCAGGGAAGGCTGAAAGCGAGGGAAGGGAGAGAGAGCACTGTTACTCAGAGCGTGGAGCACATGCTCCTGGTCCATCTAAGCTGGATTAGGAGTGGGAGGTAAGCATCAGGTGTTTTTTGAGTTGCAAAACAGAAGTACTCCTAAATCGAAACATACACACATCTTATGACAGCAATCCCACTAACTAGTTGCTGTTGAGTCGACTCTGACTCATGGCAACCCTATGTGTGTCAGAGTAGAACTGTGCTCCATAGGATCTTCAATGGCTGATTTTTCAGAAGTAGATTGCCAGGCCTTTCTTCCAAGGTGCCTCTGGGTGGACTCAAACATCCAACCTTTCAGTTAGTAGCTGTCTTAGTCATCTAGTGCTGCTCTAACAGAAATACCACAAGTGGATGGCTTTAACAAAGAGAAGTTTATTTCCTCACAGTAAAGTAGGCTAAAAGTCCAAATTCAGGGTGTCAGCTCCAGGGGAAGGCTTTCTCTCTTTGTCGGCCTTCTTCTCTTCAATGTTCCCCCGGACTAGGAGCTTCTCTGCACAGGGACCCCGGGTTCAAAGGACTCACTCTGCTGCTGGCACTGCTTTCTTGGTGGTATGAGGTCCCCCTGTCTCTCTGCTCACTTCTGTCTTTTATATCTCAAGGGATTGCCTCAAGACACAATCCAATCTTGTAGACTGAGTCATGCCTTACTAACACAACTGCTGCCCATACTCCCTCATTAACATCATAGAGGCAGGATTTACAACATACAGGAAAATCACACAATACCGGGAATCATGGCCCAGCCAAATTGATACACACATTTTTGGGGGGACATAATTCAATCCATGACATTCCACCCTTTGGCCCCCAAAAAATCACATCCTTGCAACATGCAAAACATATCCATCCCGTATCATAGCAAAAGTCTTAACTCCAAGTCCAAAATCCAAAAATTCCTCTTCATCTGTGAAATCTAGAATACAAGTTATCTGTTTCCAAAGGTACAATGGCAGAACAGGCACAAGCTAGACATTTCCGTTACAAATGGGAGAAACTGGAGGGAAAGAAGGGATAACAGGCACCAAGCAAGTCAGC